TGAAAAACGAGTAGCTTCATTGATGCAAGGAAGAGGTGAGTACGACATTGCCTGGGGACTCTTAAGGGGTTGGGACCATCCTGGGAACTCAGAGAAGGTTGAGTCCTAGGGGAGAAAGGCTAGAGAAGGATGGGAAACGTCCTAGCTAGGTCAGCAAAGCCAACCACACTTGGATGTTCAGAGCTGTACTCAAGGCCACCAATAGTGAGTCAAGCCAACCATGAGTCAGCTTGTCTTCCCACTTGCACTCTCTTGCAAACTGCTTCCAGGAAGACCAAACTTCTCAAAAGGAGGGTGGTAGATTCCCACTTGACCACCTGTACTTCTTGTCTCATTCTCTGTCCCTGCAGCATTGGCATGACAACAATGAAAGGGTGGCAAGGGAAATGCTGCCAACAGTGCACCATGACTACGAAACAGTAACTTTCGACAGCTGTCACGTGCTGCTCCGATGCTGGGTTGTCGTGAAACTCGGTGACCACCTGCACAACACGGCAAAGGACTGCCACACCGATTTTCATACCAATCAAATCTTCGTAGATGAGTCAGCAGCCGAAATGGTGAACTCGAGTGTTACCAAAAAAGAGTAACACACACTTCCGGGATGCCATAAGTCTTGAAAATAAAAATGTTGCCATGCCTTGTAAACTGCTTGAAAAAATATGAAACTTTTAGGGTCTGAAGAACACATGTTGAAGCACCTCCCCACAAAATTCCAGAAGCTGAGCAAACTCGTAGGCGGAATGGGAGTGTGATGACCGTGCCACTATAGTGCTTTGGCACAACAAACTCCCCCTCATCGTGCTCTCATTCATCCTTTAGCTGCTCCCTGCAACTGCCTCCCTTAGTTAAAGGACATGCCACACAAGGTGGCACAGCTCCAATGCTGATGCTCTGCAAGCCGCTTAGTCAAGAAATCTGCAGGTTGCTTGGTAGTGTTGATGTAGTGCAAGGAGATGGTGCCATTTTTCACCTCCTTCCTCACCCAATGCCACTTGATATGCATGTGCTTGTTCAGCCCATGGAGCACCGCATTACGTGCCATTGCAATTTCTCCTTGGCTGTCACAAAACATAGGTGTAGGACCCTCTTGCTCCTGCCCCAACTCCTCAAGCAACCTCCTCATCCAAACCACCTCCTTCACTCCATGAAACAACGCCATATACTCGCTCTCCGTTGATGAGTGAGCTATCTCTCCTTGCTTCTTAGACTTCTAGCTCACTGGACTCCCTCCAACACAGCATCTATAGCCACCATGGGATGTAGCATCACTGATGTTACTTGCCCATGTAGCATCGGTGAAGCACGAGAGGTACAAGTGCCCACGCCTTGCAGGTGCACCAGTCTTTGTGCTCACCTCCTCCACTCCCTTTCGCTTCAGTTGCCCATGCACTGAATATTGCAGCCCCACCTTTGAGGTTGCCATGCAGTACCTCACCAGCCTCTCTGCTGCATCCAGGTGCTCTTGAAGGGGCCTAGACACCACACGAGCGAGCTGTGAAACTGAAAACGCAATGTCAGGGCGAGTGTTGACCGAAGCGTACATCAACACAACGCCTCCGATTCTTGGGTATAGAACTTGAGACAGACACCGGCCGATTCTCCATTGGTCCCGACCGACGAGCCTCGCTACATTCAACCATCCAGAACCTCCTGAGCGCAAACAATGCGTGCCGACCAGTCCCGGTCCGCCACATGGCCAGAATCACAGGCATGCTCACATCAATGGGTGTCGCACTCGGCGCGACCGCTCGTGCATTCAGCCACGCCATGTTACAAGTGATCAACGATGCACCGTCATGGAAAAGCAGCGTGGTCATTCCCCCATCCGCAGCAGCGGAGCTACACTTTTGGCTTGAGGAGTTTGACCGGTTCAACGGTGCACCTCTTCATGTCCGGAACAGCTACGATGCAGTAATCCATTTGGATGCCAGCTCTCACGGTTGGGGCGCCACTCTGGCCACATTCTCTGGTGGCCGTGAAGAAGCTAGCACAACCATGTCAGAGCCGCTACGAGCAACGTCTAGCACGCGGCGGGAGATTGAAGGCGTCCTTTGGGCGCTCCAAACGTACGCCAACAAGATCAAGCAGAAACACGTTCTCGTGCGTGTGGACAACCAGGGCGTATTCTTCATCCTTCGCAAAGGCGGCTCTCGTAGCCCTGACCTCACAACGGCGTGCAAGAGCATCATCCGTACATGCATCGAGCTCGGCATGCGCTTGATCGTCGAATGGATTCCGCGCGAGCTCAACTCACACGCCGACGAGCTTTCAAAAATGGTCGACCACGATGATTACGCATTGAAAACGCCGTGGTTCTGCATCTTGGAACGTCGTTGGGGTCCCCACTCCATCGACCTCTTTGCCAACTCCCGCAACACCCAACTGTCACGCTTCTGCACAAAGATTCCCCACCCGAAAGCCATCGCAGTTGACGCGTTCTCGATTGCATGGACATCCGAAAACAACTTCGCTTTTCCCCCACCACAACTGGTCCCAGCTGTCCTACACCATGCACAACGCACCCATGCATCACTTACGTTGATAGTACCGCACTGGCCAGGCGCAAGTTGGTGGCCACTTTTGCAGCCCTCCCCATGCACTTGGGCCCCACACATCCACGCGCACATCCCCTTGACACACGGAAGCCAATGCCTAGATGTAGGGTCCCATTCCAATGCCTTCTCGGGCACAGGACTAGCGCACAGCCCAATCATTGCACTGCGAGTGGTTTTTGACTAATTCATAGTGTATGCGCCTGTGTTCAGATTTGCTCCCGAAGCTACACGACCAACTGATTAACATGCTTGCACAATCCCGCGCTGACTCTACGATCCGGACATACGAACCATACTGGGCCAAGTTTCGAGCATTTTGCACAAAAGTGCATCTTCCCTTTCTTCCAGCTTCTGACATGACCCTCGCACTATACCTGGTACACGCAATCCGACGCAAAGCCACCCTGTCCGTAGTGCAGCTGACGTGCTCGGCAGTCAGCTTCGCCCATCGCATGACTGGGAGCAAATGCCCAACAATCGGACCATTCACCACCCAAGTGCGTGACTGTGCAAAACGACATTGCCCTCGCCCTACTCGTCCGAAGGAACACGTATCGATCCAACAAGTTCGAGACATGGCCGAAAGTTACCTGCAGTCCGACGACCCTGCGGAATTCCAGAAAGGGTTAATCCCCATCCTCATGTACTCAGGATTTCTGCGATACTCCGACCTAGTGGCCATAAAGTGGCAAGACATTCAATTCGACGCAGAGGTCATGTGGATCCTCATACCACACTCCAAGACTCATCAGGCCGGTCATGGCACATGGATTCCCATTGCAGCAACAGCGGACCCTTGTTGCCCAGTTCGCTGTACCCGACGCTTCATCAAACTTGCCGGCTATGGCCCTCAGTCAGAAGGACCGTTGATTCGCGTCTTCGGCCATGCTTCAACTAGCAAAGGGCAGGCGAGGCCACCTTCATACACTACAATCCGCAACTGGTGCAATGAAGCCTTCGCAAAGGTTGGCCTTCGCGAGCTGCAGCTCGGCACTCACTCTTTCCGAAAAGGTGCAGCTACAGTAGCAGCCAACACTGGAGTGCCAGACATAGTCTTCAAACGGCTGGGCAGATGGCGAAGCGACACAGCAAAGGAAATGTATGTCACGCCATAAATCGAGCCTCTCATCAAAGCCTCCCGCAACCTACAAGATCCGACGCATGTGGTGACTTCTGCACAACACACAGAGGCACTCGTACGTAACCGGAGGCCCCCGCTGCCTATGTCTCAGCGACCCCATTTGTAATGAGAATGATGCCAATTGATAAGAATAAGAAAGCAAGCTTTCTCAATATTATAATTTTTAAACACACATAGTGTTTTTCAAAATTGTGTATTGTGAAAACGAAGCTGCTTGTATTGCACAATTGGCATCGTCGAAGCGCGCTAAACGCCCTGTTGGAAACAATTGATTTAAGCGCCTCTGTCGTGTCGAAACACCAAGTCAGAAGCAAAGCAGAACATATCGAAGCATCAGCGAGTCAACTCTCGAAGGTTGAACAACTGCTGGAGGTTACGCGAAAGTCAAAGGTCAGCGACCTTTGACCTGACAAGTACAGCGCGACAGCAAGGACAAACAACTGACTCGCTATTGAGCAGTTGCCCGAGTCGTCACTGTATCGAACCGCAACAGCAATGGTAAAACGGTTATTAGTTATAACCCTTCATATTCCCTTGTATTCTTATAAAAGCTTGTATCTCTTTGCTATTAATCAATCTACTTTGCCCTCACATACTAGCGCAAGGTGGTTCACAAGCCTTTTACTTAACGCTTCCGCTATTACATTGTCCTACCCCGAATTTAGTCCTGCAAAGATCCTAAGGGCTTTTTCAGCCCAACACGCCCTTCTCCAACTACAAAAACCGTGGGTTGGAGCTCATTTCCTCCACCCACGTTTCTCTATTTTCAAACGGCTCACTCAACCTTCCCACCACCTACCCCAGCGTAAACCGTTTTGCGCATGCCACTTGGATAGGGTATATCGTAGCTAGTGATATGAGCATGCTCAAGCTTGTGTTCAATTGTGATGCAAATGTTGTAAACAGCCATTTGTAATGAGAACGATGCCAATTGATAAGAATAAGAAAGCAAGCTTTCTCAATACAGGGTTCAACACCTGTGCTCTGAAGTGTTTGGATGAATATACACATACCATAGATATCTAGCAATTCCCCATGTGCATTGCCGCATACACTCCCCGCTGAATATTAGCTGCCACCTTTGAAATCACCAAGTGGTTTGCTCTAATACCACTAAAGACAAGTACCCTACACGACCCATTTCTTATTCTCTAACATAACTGCACAACTGTGCAGGCACAGGTGCACACGCACCACTATAAATACATCTACACTACAGCATCGGCGCACAACAAAACAATAATGCTTCCCACACTGATGCCACACAGCCTGCCAGCGGCTCTCCCACCTCGCCCGACGCCTCATCCAGCCTGGGGCGGCGGCGCAGGGTCCTTGATGTCAACGAGCTCGAGGTTCTCTGCGAGGGTGGTCATGTCAGGGCGCAGGCCGGGGTCGTCGTGGATGCAGTGCTTGCCCAGGATGGCCATCTTCACCGCACCCGCCTTGCTGAACTCGCCCTTCAGCTGCGGGTCCACCAGCAGGTTCAGGTCCGGCCGCCGCTGCGACAGGAACGGCCGGATCCACGTCGTCAGGCTGTCGTTGCCGCTCTCGCCGGTTGTGCGCCGCCCCGTCAGCAGCTCCAGCAGCAGCACTCCAAACGCGTACACGTCGCTCTTCTTCGTCAACCGCCCTGTACATGCGCGCACACGGGGGGAAGGGGCACAGGGGCATGGCAGGTGAGTGCCCTTCAGAGCCAGACCGTGCCCAGTGTGTGGGTGCACGTAGAGTGGGGGGTGTGGCAGATGAGTGTGCGGGTGTACGTGGAGTGGGGGGTGTGGCAGATGAGTGTGTGGGTGCATGTGGAGTGGGGGGTGGCAGATGAGTGTGTGGGTGCACGTGGAGTGGGGGGTGGCAGATGAGTGTGTGGGTGCACGTGGAGTGGGGGGTGGCAGATGAGTGTGTGGGTGCACGTGGAGTGGGGGGTGGCAGATGAGTGTGTGGGTGCACGTGGAGTGGGGGGTGGCAGATGAGTGTGTGGGTGCACGTGGAGGGCGTGTGGGTGCACGTGGAGGGCGTGTGGGTGCACGTGGAGGGTGCAAGGCGGAGGCCAAGAGCAGTGACAGTGCCGAGAGGAACATGGGCGATGCTCGGTCAAGCAATTACATAAGTCCTCATAGTTCTCGGAGAGGAGAATGAGCGGGCGGAAAGAACAACAGTGGGGAAGATCATGCAAGGAGGCAAAGCAGCAGTGGGGGGAGACAGTGGAAACAAGTGAAGCAAGGAGGAAGGTGCAAAGGGCGTAGCATGGAGGGGGGTGGCAAGGAGGAAAGGGGTGGGGCGGGAGGGGGGAGAGGAGGGGGAAGGTACGGCACCGGTTTCCATGTAAGTGGGGTCGAGGTAGCCCAGCGTGCCCATGACTCGCGTCGAGATGTGCGTCTCCCCGCCGTCCGGCCCTGCCCGCGCCATGCCAAAGTCCGTCAACCGCGCCGAGTAGTCCTGCCATCCACCGCACACACCCGTGGCCGCGCGTGGCACCCATGTGGCGCGTGTGGCAGCCACGTGGCAAGGGGGGAAGCATTGATAAATGCGATGCAGCGGCATGGGGACAGGGGGGGGCGGGCTCAGCAGAAGGGGCAGCTGTGGAGCAGTGCACGCGGGTAACACAATCGAAAGGCGCGTCCCAATCGCCGAGAGCGAGGCAACGCGCTCAGCCATACAGCGCAGTGGAGCGACGAGCTACGCACTGCCCTGGGCGAGGAGGGGAGGATGGTGCACGGACCTGCGCCCTCCTGCACGGCGAGGAGGGGAGGATGCTGCACGGACCTGCGCCCTCACCGCCCCTCACCCTCGTTGCCTGGTACCTCGGCGAGCAGGATGTTGCACTGACCTCAGCGAGCAGGATGTTGCACTGACCTCGGCGAGCAGGATGTTGGAGGCCTTGAAGTCGCGATGGATGATGTTGCTCTCGTGCAGATACGCCAACCCCTTCGCCGCGTCCAGCGCTATGCGCACGCGCTGCTCCCACGACAACACGTACTCCTCCGCTGCTCACCGCCACACACGCGCGCACCCACACCCATGCTCACCCACACGCGCACCCACACCCATGCGCAACCACACGCGCACCCACACCCATGTGCGACCGCACGCACACCCACGCCCATGTGCAACACACGCGCCCATGTGCAACACACGCGCCCATGCCCACACGCAACCAAACACACAGCACGCCCACCACACGCACGCCACGCCGAGGATGCGGGATATTAAACTTGGAATTGCCTTGCGGCACGCGCCGACGGCGACGACGGGGAAATAGCAGCACGGGGCGATGGCAGGACAATGCATAAGGGGGGCGGAAAGGGCGTACGTTCGAAGAGGACGTCGTCGAGCGAGCCGTTGGGGCAGAGCTCGTACATCAGCAGCGCCTCGCCCTTCTCCGCGCAGTACCCCACCAGCCGCACCAGGTTCGGGTGCCGCAGCTTGTCCAGTAGCAGCACCTCCGCCTGCCGCCCGCCCACCCCAACCCCCCCATACGCAATGCGCGCGCGTCAGTCAAACGCGCACAGGCTGGGTACGACACAACACACGACCATGCAGACGCGTGGCAAAAACGAGAGCGCAGAGTAAGGGGCATAGCAACGGGGAAGGGCGTGCGCGACAAAGCGGGGAGCGCGGGGTGCGCGCGAGAGGGAGGGGGGGGGGGGGGCGCACCAGCCACTCCTCGTAGCCCTGGAAGCTCTCCGGGTTGAGCTTCTTCACCGCCACCTGCGTGCGCACCACCTCGCCCCCCCCGCCTCGCCCCGCCGGCGTCTCCTCCCACACGCCGCGGTACACCTTGCCGAAGCTGCCCTCCCCTAGAACGCCGTTCTCGTCGAAGCTGTTCGTGATCGTCAGAAACTCTTTCAGCTTCAGCCGCCGCGCTGGCGGCGGCCCTGTTCCCCCTCCCGGGTCCGCCCCTAACCCTGATGTGGAGCTTTTTAATTTGGATAACGCCGCGCTCGAGCCGCCGCTTTTCATAGACCTAGGAGCCCCCGACGATGAAGATTGGCTGCCCTCTGCACACGAGGCGACAAAGGGGGCAGTGATGAACGGCGATACAGTGCCGGGAGTAGTAACAGCGGCGAGAAACACGGAACCGCGAGTGGCACGGGCGTCGTGGGAAACGACCGCGTGCAATACGCAGCGTTACGAGCAAGCGGCAGTGCTCACCTGCGGGTTTGGACGAGGGCGCAGTTGGGGGCCTCGACCTCGACGGACAGGAAGCATCCCATGTCGCCCCGCGCCTCACCTCCACCGCGCGCTCACACGTAACGCATGCCACGAGCCGCTAAAAAGTTCGATGAAACCCTAAAAACAGGTAATTAGCGAGGTAAGCGAAAGGCTGTAGTAAAAGTAGCAGGAGTAGCAAGAGCGGCTAAGTGGGAGGACTTTAGGAAGCGGTAGGGTGGCAGTGAGTCGCAGAATAGAATGGTGCTGGGCGGGTGCGGTGAGGGTTTGAGGTGAGCCCAGAGGAGGCTGGGCGAGGCCAGTGGGCGACAGGGTGTGCGTCGCAGGCCGAGGCGAAATGTGGACGAAACGGATGCGACGTGAGAAGGCTGGATGGCTCTCAGCCAGTCGTGGCATGTGACTCAATCGTCGCAGGGGGACTGGACGTGGGGCGCCTGGCCAAGCCCCAAGTGACGAGGGAACGTATGCAATTGGTTGACCTGTATCCGTTATTGTCAACCTTGATGTTGCACCGAAAGCATGCTGTAAATTTCAAAACTCAGAACACTCGTTTTCCCCTCATGGAAATTCGAACTCCCATAATTATATTAATTTCATACATTTGTCTCCAAAATCCAAAGCAGCTTCTTGGACGTTGATCATCTATCTCGTCGCACGTGCCGCGCTCGTCGAATGCTGGAACGTGCAGCCATTGGTCGAGCGTCGCGATGAATCTCAGCCTGCTAGGTCAGGCTCGCTCTTTTCCCCGTTTCTCCCTCTCCTCGTTCTCAGCCCGCTCTCGTGCGTGCGCCGCCCTCCCGCGCCCAGCCTCAGTCCCATTGCTCCCGTCTTTCCCGTTGCTTGGCATGTCGCAACGCACTAACGGCGGCGCGCGCGCCTCGAGGCAGATCCGTTTCAGAACGACTTTCCCGAAGTGATCGAGGAGTATCTGGACCACCGCGCCGCCAAGTGCATCGCCTTCAACCGCCGTGGCACGCTGCTCGCAGGTACGCCATGGCTCTGCGTGCGCGGCCACACACCGCCGTCATGGCTCTCTCCATCCGCCAGTCCGTTGCGCGCCCCCCCCCCTTGGCCACCTCCCCTTCCCCTTACGCCAGCTTCTCTTTCCCTTGCCCCTTGCCCCTTGCCCCTTGCCCCTTGCCCGCCCCTCCCCCCCTCGCCAGCGGGGTGCGCGGACGGCGTGTGCGTCATCTGGGACTTCGATACGCGCGGAGTGGCCAAGGAGCTGCCGCTGCCCCCGCTGCTCCTCCCGCCCCCCCATGAGACCACCTCACCTGCACGGCGGACTCTCCGTCCTCCACGCCCTCCGCCGTTCCCCCTCCGCCTCCGTCGCTGATCACGAGCGTCGCGTTGTCCAAATGCGGCCGCCTGCTGCTCGCCGCTTACACCGCCGCGGGCCCCTCCGCCCACGCGCACGCGCACTCCCCCGCGCAGGCCGCATGCTCCGCCGTCGCCCCACCGCGTGGTGCTGTGGGACGTGGCGGCGGGCTCCCCCCGTGACCTCCGTGGCGCTCCCCAAACCCGCACTCCACGTGCGCCTGCACCCCTCCCCCTCCCCGTCCCTCGCGCTCGTCTGCCCCATGGGCGCCCCCCCCCGCCCTCCTACACCTCCCCTCCGGAAAGCTCCGACCGCTCCCCACCTCCCCCAAGGCAGATGGCGCGGGGGGCGGAGCAGGGAAAGGCGGGAGGGGCGGGGGGGGCGAGGTGGGGGCGGGGAGCCTGCCATGGCCGGCGGTGTTTGACAAGAGCGGCAGCCTGGCGCTGGTGGGCGCGCCCTCGGGCCACATCCTCGTTGCCTCCGTGCCCGATGCTGCCCTCCTCGCCGCCATCCCCGGCGTGCCCTCCCCCGCGGGCGGCAGCAGCGGCAGCACTGGATGGGCGGCGGCGTGCATCCGCCAGCTGGCGCTTAGTCGTGACGGGCGGTTCCTGCTGTCCAACTGCACAGACCGCGTGCTGCGCGTCTTCTCCCTCGCCACCAGCCGCCCTCAATGGCGCGGAGGGCAGCGGCGCTGGCGGGGAGACCAGGGGGGCGAAGCAGAACTGGGAGAGAGGCGGAGAGCGGAGCTGGGGAGTCAGAGCACAGTGAGCGCGGGGGCGGGCGAGCAGGGGGTAGCAAGGCGGGCGGGGGGTGGCCGAGTGCAGACGAGGTCGGTGGCACGGGGCAAGCAGCGGGCAGTGGTGGCAGTGACGTGTGTGAAGGAGTATCAGGACGCCGTGAACCGCGTGCACTGGCGCAGCGCCTGCTTCAGCGGCGACGGCGAGTTCGTGGTGGGCGGCGTGGCGGCGCGTGGCGAGCACAAGATCCACATCTGGAACCGCGCCTTCGGGCAGCTCGTGCGCATCCTGGAGGGCCCCAAGGAGGCCCTGGCGGACCTGGTGTGGCACCCCACGCGCAAGGTGATGGCGTCGCTGTCGGGCGGCGGCAGCATCTACCTGTGGGCGCAGGACTACCGTGAGAGCTGGAGTGCCTTCGCGCCTGACTTCCGTGAGCTGGAGGAGAACGAGGAGTACGTGGAGCGAGGAAGACGAGTTCGACGCCTGGCCTGACCCCGAGGGCTGGGGCCCCCTGCACGGCACAGCGCAGGGGAGGAGGGCGGTGGATGGGAGGAGGTGGACATAGAGAGGGTGGAGGCGCGTGGCGGCGTACAGCGATTCTGACGACTCCTCTGACGCCCTGCTCTTCCTCCCCACCCACCCCCCTCCCCACGCCCCCTCCGCCCACTGCTGCCGCTGCCCCCCGCTGCCAACGCCGCAGCGGAGGATGCAGAGGAGAGCAAGGGCAGGGGGGCAGGGCGCGGAACAGGGAGGGTGGGAGTGATGGGGAGGAGAGTGGTTCGGAGGGGGGAGGAGGGGGAGGGGCAGGGCAGTGGCGGGGCTGGCGCTGACAGTGACTCAGGTGAGGAAAGGTTCTTTTGTGAGCGGTGTGAGTGCATGTAGTCACCGGCAACACTCACGCTGATTACCAGCGCTCACATTGTATCACCAACACCACTCACGCACTGGTTCAGCGATGCCACTTAGATGTTTTGCAACCTGTACTCATCTCCCATTGTGCTCTTCCCTCTCCCCCTCACCCACCTTCGCTCTCGCACACCCTCCCCCCCACCCCTCCCTTTCCCCCCACCCCCTTTTTTGGCGGCTGCAGAGGGGCGGGGGGCATCAGGGCGGGGCAGGCGGGCGGCGGCGGCTGTCAGAGAAAGCAGCAGAGATGGTGGGGGGGGGCAGGAGGGAGGGCAAGGGGGAGAAGCGGGAGGGGCGGGGGGACAAGAGAGGGGGAGGGGGGGAGAAGAGCCATAGAAGGGGCAAGGGTAGGGCAAAGAGGGAGCCCAGGTAGTGAGCGTGGCCAAGTAGTGAGTGTGGCCACATTGCCCCACTGGTTACCACAGCTCCACGCCGCACAGTGCCGGCAGCATGATAGTTGTGCTGAAGCTGGTCTGAGGCTACCACCGTTACCGTACTGTGATTGGCATACCGTAGTTTGTACACGTTTTGTTCCTCGACAGTTATAATTAGCAACTGACATTGTTACTTATTGTACAGAACAATTCAGACTATCTTCACTAGCAAGTATCTTGTGCAACATCAACAGGGCAGTGCCAAGAGGGCTGCACCTTCCGAATGAAGAATGCATGTGCTAAGGCTGCAAGTGACCCTACCCCTCTACCATGGCTCACTAACAGTACATCTATGCTGCTGCACTCGCACTCCACTGCCTCATTGCCGTGCATGTGCTGCAGCCAGCATGCTATCCACACTGCTGCTGCTGCTGCTGCTGCTGCTGCTGCTTCATTTACTGCTGCTACTGCTACTGGTGCGAATGCTTTGGGTACTGCTGCTGCTGCTGCTGCTGCTGCTGCTGCTACTGCTACTGTGAGTGGGTGTGTTGTTCCTTGCTGCTGTCGGAGGGGCCACATGACCAGGCAGACTGGGCGCTTTCAGCAAGCCTTATTGCCCGTTCCATTGGGGGGGATGGCATGCCACGGCACTCCCAACTCAACGGGGCGCGTGTGATGCGCAGGCGCTGCTGAGACAAGGTGCCGGCGAGTGGAGGTAGCAATGAGGAGTGGCTGTGCAGGGAGAGGGAGTGGGCGAGCTGGCGTGGCTTTCTGAGATGATGAGGATGGAAAGCTTCGAGGCGACTCAACAGGAGACGGAAAGGAGATAGGAAGGAGATGGGGAGGTGTGGCTACTGGAAGGAGATGGGCAGGTGTGGCTATCCGAAGGAGATGGGGAGGCCTCTGGAGGGAGTGGCGAGGAAGAAGTAGTCGAGCACGACGCGCTCTATGGCGTCCGGTGAATAGCGGTACGTCTTGAACTCACACAGCTCCTCCCTGCCACCCCATACACACAGCAGCAAATATGCAGAGAGAGCAAAAGGCACACATGCAAACACGATAAGAATGTGAGCAGAAATAAGGGAGCAGAGAGTGCAGCCAGACTGGGATAGGATAGGACCGATATTGGCACGTCAAGTGTGCTGCTGCCCACTCCCCATTCACGCGCCACCTGTAGGGCAGCAGGAAGGCCTAGGGACTGCAGCACCTGTGGGCAGCAGAAGAGAATGGCCAAGGCAGCGCACCTGTAGGGCAGCAGGAAGGCCTAGGGACTGCAGCACCTGTGGGCAGCAGAAGAGAATGGCCAAGGCAGCGCACCTGTAGGGCAGCAGGAAGGCGGAGTAGATTTCTCGCAGGCGGCGGGCAACGCTGCTGCGGGTCTTCTTGCGGCGGTCCTCATCGGGGATGTTCCACCCCGCCTGCTTTATCGCCAGCTCCTCAAACGCTGTGTTGAACTTCTTCAACCTGCCGCCCCACATGCACACACACACGCACACACACACACAAATTAACACACTCACACACTCACACACACACACACTAACACACACTCACACTCACACAGAAGTTCCACATGGCCAGCATGGGGAAGGAGGGACACGGATGGAGAGCGCGAGTGAGGTGCAGGGATGGCACGGCGAGAGGGGAGGGCAGACCCACAGCAGCAAGCCAACAAGCCCACGCAGCCAAACCCTTTGAGTGGCGCTCACCCACCCTTCCAAGTAGACGCCCCCCCGCCCCCCAATTGACTCACTTGGCCTTGACCTCCGTGTGCTCATTCACTGACTTGAGCAGCCCCCCCGTGACTGCTGTCTCCTCCAGTGCGTGCGATATCTGTTGTGGCCGTGGGCATGAGCGCATGGGGGAGAGTAGGCGGGGAGGAGAATTGAGAGAGACGAGGGGTGTGGGAGAATGAGGTGGCATGGCAGACGAGTGCAATAGGTGGGGGTGTGGGACCAGGAGGGCACAATCATGGCAAATCCAAATGGAACTGCTAAAGCAAGCATTAGCAACACTCCATACCGCCGTGCACACATGCCTCATGCACACATGCCTCATACACACATGCCACCCCCTTCCTATCATTCAGTGAAATGCACCCAGGCATGGCATGGCATGGCAGGGCAGGGCAGGGCAGGAGGGAGTCACCCGGGCGAAGCACGGCATCCCGGAAGTGGATCATGTACTTGTCCAGCATCTGCCCCTCCTTCCACTCGGTAGATCCGCCACCGCTGACAGCTTGCCGTCCGACCTGCACCGCCACACACACGCAAGGGTGCATGGGAGCATTAAGCATGGGAGCATTAAGCATGGGAGCATTAAGCATGGGAGCATTAAGCATGGGAGCATTAAGCATGGGAGCATTAAGCATGGGAGCATTAAGCATGGCTGCATTATGCATGGGTGCATTAAGCATGGCTTGTATGGCTGCATTATGCATGGGTGCATAGGTGTGTGGCTGCATGGGAGCATGGTTGTGTGGACGCATGGGCGAATAGAAGTAGGGAGTGGAAGTAGAGGAGCAGAGGTGAACATGGAGACACGTGCACACTGTCACACATGGCAGCATGAGGCGTATCAGGGCCGCATCATATGGTGGAACGAGTGTCAATACAGCTTAAAGGTGGAGGGGATGGCTGGAAGGTTGGAGGGGAGGGGCTCACAGGTTTTTGGAGATGTAGAGGGCGTTGTTGAGGAGGAAGAGGGCGCCTGGGTGGGGTCGGAGGCGGCCTTGGCGCGGCTCTCAAGGCACCGCAGCAGCGACTCCAGCACCGATGACACCACGCCCGCCAGGGTCGCCGCACGCTGCCCCAGCGCTGCCTGGCCCCACCGCGCCCCGACCGGCGCTCCACAGCAGCGCCGCTGAAGGGCGTCTTGTACTGCGGGCCGCTGCGCGTGATGAGGCGCCGCTGCCGTGGCGTCGGCGGGCCGGTGGAGGTGATGCTGCGGCCGTACTCCAGCAGCAGATACTCCAACGTCACCGGGTAGTTGCGCTTGCTCTGCCTGCTCACGACCGTGCATGTACATCCATGCGTTGCATCCATCCTATCCATTCTCACATACCAGATTGCTCGTTTCATCTGCACCACACTCGATTCCACAACCTAGTGTTGTAACCCTGACACACAGACATGTGACATGAGAGCATGACAATAGCAGAAGAGGACCCCCCCCACGCACTTATCGAGGAGGTTGTCATGTAGTTGACGACGTAGGAGGTGAGGGTGGTGCGTGGCGCCGTGGCGACCTCCATCTCCTCCACCGGCCCCGTGTCCGCCCCACTGCTCGCACTCGCACTGCGCAGAAAACGGCTTCAGCATGCTGCGGTCACAAGGGCACATGGACGGGGTGGGATGGGATGAAGGGGTGAGATGGTGCTCGAGCGGGTGGTCAGGGGAGATGGAAGAGGCAGAGTGAGGGGAGAAACATTGAGCAGGCGAAGTCAAACACAGAGGGCAGACACAGGATGGGTGCAGGAGTGGTGTCACATGCTATTGTAGCTGCCACACCCCATGCCTGTCCCATCCAGCCCACCTTCCATCAACAGACCCTCCTCCCACTCACCCTTTCTTCTTGTCCTGGCTGTGCGCCCTGGTGGTGGGCGGGCGGCTCCCGAGAACGCGTTTGAACTCGCCGATGGTGTCCATCACCGCCCCCCGCCAGGTCACGCGGCAGCCGCTCCATCTCGCGCAGCACACTGCCAAACCCCGGCACCGACACCACCGCCTCTATCTGCGCCCAAGCCAACGGCCAGGGTGGGAAGGGCAGGCGGGAGTTAGGGAAGTGTTGAAAGGCTTTCAGGAATTTGACGGGCAGCACAGGGAGACAAGACACGGGCGCGCATCTCCAGCCTCCTCACTCCACCTGTGACCTTCCGCCCTCCACCTGTGGACCGTCCGCCCTCCACCTGTGTCCTTCTTCGCTCACACCCCCCTCTCCTCTCCACCTACTCTTCCCCCCCACCCCTCCCCCCACCCCCCACCTGCGCACGCAGCTCGCGGCCGGTGGTGAACATGTCGAGCAGCGCAAAGAGGCGCTCCGGTGTGGTTGCGCCCCGACGCCACCACCCGCCCGTTGCTCACCACCGCCTCCACCGTCGCCGCCAACCCACTCTGCCTGCGCGCAGGGGGAGGGAAGAGGCGGAACGGGGGAAGGAGGGATAGGGCTTGTTTAAGGTGAATAAGGAGACTTAGGCGAACGCAATGGTGGGGAGACATCTGGAACAGGCTTGCGAAGAGATTGAGGTGGGAGGAAGCAGGGGTCACCTGAATGAGGGAGAGGTAGCAGAGCTCTCTGTCGGGCTCGAGTGAGTCAAATATCTCGTCACACAGCACGCGCTCACTGCCCGCAGCACCAACAACCGGCAGTGGTGAGTGGCAGACATGCAGAGAGGAGAAGTAGAGGCGAGTGAGAGGGAGGAGAAGTAGAGGCGAGTGAGAAGGAGGAAACTAGGCGATCAGCACCAATGCAGCGCACATGGCAACCACGACAGCGCTGGTGGATCAACTGAATACTCTACTCTCCCAATTCATGGATCACACCACCCCCAAGACCTCCCCAACCCCACATCCGACCAAACCCCAAGCCCCGTCCACGCCAGCCCCAAGCCCCACGGCCCTGCCCAACCATGGCTCGCATGTCCGTGACCCATCCCTCATACAGCGCCTCCAGCTGCTGCCACGTCATCTCCTCCAGTGATGTCGTCAGCACTCTCTTGATGTCCAGCGCGTCTACACTCCGCTGAATGGCCTCCGCCCGACACCTTGCTGCCCGTGGGAATGAGAAAGGGGGGGAGGGTGTAAGAGTTGGGATAATAGGAAAAGTGGCCAAGGAAGAACAGTGGGGGGATAATAGGAAGGAGGAGAAGAGGAGGATTGATAGGAAGCAAAAGTGAAAGGCGACGGAATCATTCTTGCCAGTGCTCACACGTATTGCTGCATGCAGCGCTGCGACTCGCCCCCCTGCGCGAGCTTGACGGCCATGCGGTGCAGGAAGGGCACGGCGCTGGCGGACAGCCAGTCCTGCAGCGCCAGGTGCGTGGCGGCCGACACCGGACGTGCGCCATGGCAGACCCGCCCCCCACGGGGGACGACGACCCCGATGAGTCGGGCGAGGAGGTGGTGTTGGCGGTGCGCGAGCGAGAGGTGGGCAGGTGCGACGACGCAGACGACGACCCCGTGGACGTGCGCGGCACGCCGGGGCCCGCCGCGCCTGCCAGCACGGCGGCGGCGGCAGCAGCGGCGCCGCCCTGGTGCTGGTCCACGAGGCGGCCTGCGTGCGCTGACATGGCCACCTCGCGCAGCATGGCTGCTGGCAACGGCTTGCTGCGCGCCGAGCCACACGGCCGTGCGCGGGGATGGGGGACGGAGGGAAATGGGGGTGGAGCGAGGGAGAAGGAGGGGAAGGGAAGGAAAAAGGGGGGGAAAGGAGGAAAGGTTTGGCAGCGGAGGTTCAGAGAAGCGGGGAGGTGTTCAGGCATGGACGGATTGACAGGTGCGGACGAGAAGGTTGCGGGGTTATGCTTATGCATGGAGGGTAGGAAGAGCGTGGGATAACAGCGTGGAGGCGTTTCTCACCAGCTCAAACACGTTGCACGCTTGCACGCTTGCATGTGCGCCCCACCTCATTGGTTCATGTGCGCCCCACCTCATTGGTTCATGTGCGCCCCCGTCCCTCCCCATTGCATTCCCCTTCTCCATTGCGATCACAGTAGGTGCATGCAAGCATGCATGCGTGTGTGTGCGCGCGCACCTGATCTTGACGAGCGCGTCGCGGAACTCGTCGACGAGGTGGTCCATGGCGACCGCCATGTACTTCTCGCACTCGCGCACGCCCGACGCGCACTCGTTGCGCTCAAAGAACTCCGCCATCTCCTGCGCGCCGCCAGAGGAGGGATGGGGGAAGGGGGGGAAGCAGAGCAGAGAGAATTATAGCGCACTATACCATTCCATGCGAGCGTAGCTGTAGCAGCATGCGAGCGTGCCTGTGTCTGCAGCAGCAATGCGAGCGTGAGAGCACACCTGGAGGATGTCGATGCTCGTAGAAACTCCTCGAGCTTCCACCGCGGGC